CAATCACCATACGAAAAGGGAATCAAATATCAGAAATGAACAGGAGCGGTAGTCAAACAGAAGGAAGTACTCAACATTCAGAAAGTGAGACAGGAATCGTCTGCTGTGACATTTTGTTCTCTATAGCTGCCGTAATAACTCGCCAAACTCCGCTCTGACACAAGCTTGCGTTTTGGCGTTTTCCGAAGAATAAACTCTCCAAGAGATTTCTGGTTTCATTCGTGATCAACATTCATATAAACGGCCTTCTAGTATTCCGCGAAAAGAACGAGGTGGCGTGGGTGTGAGTGACGCCGTGTATAATACCCGTGGTCTGTGAGCAGGGTAGAGCATTGTTGAGAGAATCCAAGAGAGGTCATAGGGTCACACATTGTCGATGGGGAGGGGCCGTATTTGCTCTTGAGGGGAATTCCCGCGCATCAAGAAAATTTTCAAAAACCCATAGGGAAATATTCAAGTATCTTCAAAGTAAAAAAAAAACGTTCCTTAACCATTACTGGATTGTTTGGGTATGCAGTGAAAAAACACTGTGCGGTCGGTCGAGAGACCAGACAACAGAGGGCAAGAGAGTAATCAGAGTGCAAAGTGGACTGTCATCAGCCGTGGGACTAATACAGTGGGCGTCGGAAGACTGTGATGACATTACCATGCCAGTGTCTAGGCTAAGTAAGCGTCAAGGAGTAGGTAATAGTCAGCCAGAGTCAACGGAAGAATCTTGGAAAGACTTGAAAGAGGTTTTGCTCGGTTTCATCGCGCCAAAAGTGCTTCGCATCACAAAAAAATAACTTTTATATACTATTCATTCGAATAATGGGCAGATTAATCAAATGCAGGCTCCCTAGACCGAAGAATTCTAGTGAGAATCTTCTTCACGAGCAAAAATTGGGCCACTTCGTGGAACTTTGTTTCGCTCGTGCTTCTAGTGTGACCGAATCCACCTCTAGGATGTTTGGGATGCTCTGACTCTCGTTGTGCTCTCCCGCCTGTCATTTTCTGGTCACCCTCAGGCACTCATCAGTGTACCACGTTTGTTCAGTCGACCTTGGCCATCCATCTTATTCTCGTCCAGTGATCATGGCAAGCACATAAAGAAACGCTCTTATCAAAATTCAACCGTTCGATCCCTTTTCATTCTTCACGCATTAGGTCAGCTTTATAAGCTTTCCGTTTCTGAATCCCACTAGCTACGATTTGTAATCATCACAAAAGGACCTTCAATTGTCGAAGTTGGACTAGAAGGGAGAGGTGAAAAGACATCGCGAGCGCAGACGAGAGACCAGAGACAAACGGTTACAGTGCAGAGAAAGGAGAAGCGCGAAGGGAAAAGGACTCCTCCGTCTGCATAGAAGGATTACCACCTCTAGCCGCTACACGTCCCTGCATCTTTTGCTCTGGAGATAACTCCCCGTGTCTACAGCAGCTACAGTCATGATCCCTGCAAACCATAGAGCGTTTACGGGGCGGGACGGAAATTGATACGCAACCAGGGCAGCTTTCCCGCCAATTGCTGAGGAACTCACGATCAAGGGCACAATCGTTTTTGGGGAATCGCCCAGTAGAGAGTCGTATTCCAGGAAAGCGGAGATGTCGTGTTTGGGCCTGAGAAAAATTTATGTTTATAAGTTGATTTTTCAGCGCTTCATACAGTGTAAAAGGGAGGGGGGGGTACTTGCCAGAGGGTCGTATTCACTTTTTTGGCCGACTTCTTAGGAGCGGTGGGAGTGTGGTTGACTTTCGTGATTTCCTAGTCTCATGCGATACTATATAGCTCCACGCGCCCTCCCCTCCCCGCTCGACAGCGTCAATTGGACGAAGAGGGACATGAGAGGCGAAATGGGGGGGGGATCGTACCAACCCCAAAAAAAGTGGATGGTGGTCCCGGACCCGACCAAAATCCCCAGCCAATGATGTGCCCTGCGGATAACATTGGTGAAAAATCGACTAGCAGCGCTCCAATCCACGCCCCGTCACGATCTACGGATATTTTACACTGAATCCCCTTGATCGTATCAACTTTCTGTTTTTCTTTCTCTGGTCTCTCTTGACACTCTCATGATAACTCTGGAGGCATTGTGGAGGCACTGTGAACTTTGCACATTCCAAACACTTCACCCATGATAGGTGGCTCATCCACCACGATGTCTCCTCCTGAAAAAACTCATACTCAGGCTCGCGACTTGTTCTTCGCACTTTTCCATGCCTTGGCGACCGCACTTCTCGTTTTCAGCGCTCTAGCACTTCCCACCACGACCCATGGGTTACGCTGCAGAGAAGATACACTCAAAATCCCTGACTATGAGATGTGGTAGGCGTCTTGAACTGAACAAGGCGGTGGCTGTGCTCTTGGAGAGATATCTACACTTTGACGCAACTGTGGTCGTTTCTCTGCCCCAACACTGAACGAGATGGCAGCTGTTCCAAGTTGACATATCTCCCACTCTGTGAAATGTTGAAAGACCACGCCTACTCCGTATCTTGGGGATAAGTAGTGTATGCAGATGTAGGACCAGCCACTCATTTGCTATATGTCAAAGAACCGACTAAACGATCGGTGCTATTAAAGTTTTTTCGACCTTCTCATCACCATTATGGTCCGTAGGTACCACGTAATTTTGCTGGTGATTCACAACACTATGCCTCATTCAATCATTCACGTCATTTCGCATTGGAGAATATCAAGAACGAACGGAATTCTCCAATGAGCAACGATTGTTGAAATGTAATGTCTCTAAAAAGCGTTCCCCAAAGCAAGGAACTACAGTCATTTACGCTTGCAGACGTTGGGGCGTGTACAGGGGGGGGGCATCAATTGCTGAAGCGGACCAGCTGTTTAGCATCTTAGCTCAAGGAAAACCTATAAATATACAGTGCAAGTTGACTATATCCCTATTCTTTTGGAACGATTGCTTCTGTACCTTTCATAAATATTTACGAATTTGACAATTTTTATTTATTTTTTCATATTCATTGGAAATATGAATTGCAACATAAAACATTAACAATAGCAGAAAGTGGCAGCTTACATCTCTGAAGCAAAAATGTAGAATAAAAATACAAGTCCAGAAAAGAAACCAGCCACAAGAAAAAAAGAGGAGAAGAATGACAATGAACAGAATGAATCAATTCGTTGAGCCGTGCACTCTGCTTCCATTCACTGTCGCCGGAGACATTTGATTGCATATTTTATCTTAACAATGACCTAAGCCTGCCCACTCATGATAACATTCCGGACCGCATGACACACATGGTGCGTCATACATTTTTCTCTCTGCGCTGTTACATATGGCCTATTTGGCATCTATTTATGTTTTGAAGTTACCAGAACATGTCTTCGACACTGAATGTAAACATCTCGAATGGAAGTGGAAGAACAAATTAAGTTACAGGTTATCTATGTGAAAATTGACGAAATGATGCGGGACCTTCTCGTCACAATCCTGCGAAGAAAAAGTCTTCGTTCCAATGACTTAAAAATCGATTTCGGACGAGTTTCCCGTAGGCATCTTGCCAATCACCGCTACCGAAGATACGGCTGCATATGTGTACCCATATATGCATGCAGCATCACGGCCGCTTCATACCAATCCCTTCGCTTCATAATTTGCTTAGCAAATGAATGAATACGAGCCAGGAACGGTCGTCCATTTGTGGGCGGGCGGGGCGGGCTTTCGGGTCGGTATGTTGTGTAGGGCCCTTATAAGGGTACCTTCCTCGGGAAGGGTCGCTGCGCAGCGCCTGCTCAGGGGCGCGGAATTCCGTCCTGCCAGGCATATTAATCCTACTCGTCTTTAGGGATTTATCGTGCCAACTGCCCTTTAATGTATTAATACAGGATTTAAGTTATCCTAGCGGTGCTATTCGGCTTCGGTGGCGTGCAGGGGAGGGGCGAGAAGGGGAGGGGGTTGTTTCGGCTAGAGCTGGCTAGTGGTTTCTGGCAAGTTCTCCTTCCACTAGTTGTTAAATTATACTTCATCTTGACTAATGACCGTTCACTCTTCAGTCAAGTAAAAACCAAGCTCGAGCTATTCCATAACTTTACAAGAATTTACAGGTCTCCGTAAAAGGCGTCATTAGTGATGATGGGAATCAGCAAACTGCCCCTACAAGACAAACGCGTCCACAACTCCTTCACTAACGTACGGTCCGCGAAGCGAGAAAGAAACAAGGTCACCGTGCTGCGACACATCTAATGCTATATGCCGACAGAATACAGCACTGTTGTGTCGTCTGCCAACAGCGACCAAATACGACCCCTCCCCTCCCCTGCCCCACTTTCCAGCGGGAAAACGTAGGAATGGTCGTGCTTTCCCGCTGGAAAGTGGCGAGGAGAGGGGGGGGGGGTCGTATTTGGTCGCTGTTGGCAGAGAGGGGTCGTATGTGACTTTGAGAGTAATTCGCGTTGGAAAAAATTTTTCCGGTTGTTGACTTTTTGTGATTTTTCCTGTGTCATGTGTACTACATACCACCCCCCCCCCTGTTCGACAGCTAAATTTTTGGGGAAAAGTAGGAAAATTTCCGGTAAATTCCGGAAAAACTGGTAAGAAGTGACAGGTAATCTAAGAAATTTCGCCGTTTCCC